GTCGAATTAATATCTTCCTAATAAAGGCAGACTGTGGTTTTGAGTTCATTGAATATGATATGTTAAAGAATACTTTTTCTAGATTGTACTACTAGTCTGTATTGAGTCAATAAACTATAAGATATAACTCTTAATAGGGGTATGATTAATTTATCTATTTATACAATAAAAATATTACCCTGTTGAACTTTAATTAGAAATTCCTTTCATTATTCTGTTATTTAATATATATTCTAACTATTATTCAATCTCTTTTTATAGTATTTTTTTTTTGTATTATTTTCTTTTTTAGTTTCAGTTATTTTAATCATTATTATATCAAGAAAGAATGTGGAATATCAAAAACGATTAAATAAGTAGATGTTATACCCCTTTTTCATAAATTTTGGGTTTATGTTTTTTTTTTTGATTTGTTATGAATAATACAAAAAAAAATCTAAAGAGAAATAACAAACATAAGAAAAAAGTGTTTTAAAGTAGAATTATTTCTTTTTGTCAAGAATTAATTGTAATTCTTTACATAATGTGTAATCTTTTGGTAAATGACCAAAAGATACTAATTTCAATAATTGTTGGAATCTATTAGAGCATCCATCCATATTTGAATAGCCATTTCCTAAATAATGGAAATGAATATTGATTATCATTTCTCTAATCATTCTTCCTAATACATCACCACTAACTTCCATTCCATTTAATAATGGACCAACAATAGGCATTTCTTTCTTTCTAAAGATTCTAATTCCATACATTCCATTAGCATTTGGTTTAATAACAATTACAATTTCACAATAACTACCAATAATTGATGGATGATATGGTTTAATTCCTTCATCCCAAATAATACAAATTAATGATGTTACTTGACTAATTGTTTTTTGGTTTAATTCATCCATTTGATTAATTTCTTCAAATACATATTCATATTGTGCATCTGCATAATAACATATTGTTCCATCTCTACTCTTTTGACAAAGTTCAGGATCACAAATTAATCCTTCTAAGGATTGATACCAACCTAAACATCTCATAAATTGTTTATACCTAAGACTTCCTTCTTTTTCTTCAATAATTTTTTCAACAGACATATCATTTTCTCCAACATAAATAATAGTACTTTTAAAGAATAATCTTGCTGATAATTTATCTAATTCAATAATTTCATTTAAGAAATCATTTGTACTTTCTATTGGAACTAATAACTTATCATTCATTGAATATAAACTAAGAATATTTTGTAAATATTCCGTTAATGTATCTCTTGCTCCTTCACTTAAATCAAGTTGTCTTGAATTCATTTTAACAAGATCTAATGCTTCTTTAATTTGTTTTTCTTCTTCATTTACTGTTTCTGTCATAACTTTTTCTATTGTAGTAATGTATTTGTAATATTCATCAACCTTCATAATTTCTTCAGGAAATTCACACATTAATAAACTAGGATCATCTTTACATGTATCTTCAACTAATGTTTTTAACTTATTTTCTTGTGAAAATACTTTTTCTTTAATGATTCCACTTGCTTGATTATTTTTCTTCCATGGAATTTGACTAATAGGAATAAAATCATCTTTAATTTCTGGTAATCCAATATCATTAATTGTTTGCATTGGAGCAACAAGAAATTCGTACATTCCATAAATATTTCTGATAAAAACTCTAGTATGACAATCATTTGAAGGTAAAACTGATATAATAGTACTATCTCCATATGCAAAATATCTTGATAACGATTGGTCTGGGATATTTGCTTCAGTACATTTAAACATACCATGTTCAGTTGGACTACCAAAGACTACTTGAGATAATACAGCAACAAATTTTTGTGCTGCTTCATGTGGGTCTATACATGTTGTTGGTCTATCAGGATTTTCTGGTGGATTTTCTAATGAAAGGGTCATTTGAATAACTTGGAAAAGACGATGAGTTGTTTCATCTAAAAGTCTAATAGAGAACATATTTTTACCATAACATAACAACCAACGAGACATTGTATCAAAAATAAATGAAATACAATCAATAGTTATAGGACATGTTAATATAATATTACATAATGCATCAATGATATAATTAATTATATTATCTGCTAATAATTGTGCTTTTGTACTAAGATAATTTAATATTTGTAAAGATGTAGTATAAATAATAAAACTTGGAGATCTAACTCCTTCAAAGAAAACGTCTAAGAATATTCTAAAGTCAATGTCACGATGACTTTCTAAACAAATAGTAAATAAATGAACAAATGACCAATATAACATTATTTGTGTTTGAGATTGTGGCATAACACGTAATGCACCAGTAATAATATTAATCATTGTAGTACAATAATCACCTGGTAAATTTAATCCCATTTTATTAAAAGACTCTTGTAAATTTGGATAATTATATTCAAGAAATACAAGAGAATTAATCATTGAACAACATTTAATTTGGTCTTCTAATGTTGAATTTCCAGTTGATAATTTACTTAATGATTGAAGTACTGATGGAAGACAAGGAAGAAATTTATTATTTGGATTACTAAACATATCATATGAAGATGAAATAAATGCCCATTGTACATCAATTGTTTGAAAATGAATACTTTGAATTAATGATGTATAAATATCATATATTTCATTCTCATATTGAGGAAATTGTCTACAAATAATTCTACTAATTGATTTAAAACTTAAACATTTTGATTTTTCTGTAATTAATGGATTTGGTTGTGCAACTATTTCAATGAAAATAGGAAGGAAAATTTCTTGTAATGGTAAATATAAAGATTCATTAATTTTAAATATTTTATCATTATTAGATACATTAGTAGTATTTGAAATTGGAGAAACAGATGAAGTAGGTTGAATTGTTTTTCTAATTCCTTTCCAATTTGTTGGTTGAATATTCCATTGAGATTGTCTAATTGGTTTAGGTTGTGAAATAATTGTTTCTGATTTTATTTCATATGTAGCGTTTTCTTCTGCAAATGTTAGTAATGATACAAGTTCATTTAACATTTCAATATTTTTACTAATAATTTCAATATTATTTAATTTTAATGGATGATCAATAAATTTAAATAATAATAACCAAAGTTCTCTTATTCTATGAGTATCCCATAATGTTTTAATCATTCCTAATTTAGGTTCACTATGAGGTGTATCATAATATATTTCTTCATTTAAATTTTTAATATAATTACTTCCTTCAATTGGTAATGGTACTGAAAATATAGTTGGATTATATACTTTTTGTGCAAAGACAGTTGTAAGATGTTCAATTTCTATTTGAATAACACTAAGCATATCAACATCATAAAGTGGTTTTAATCTACTTAATAATTCTATCCAATCTCCTTCATATTGAGTCCATTGAATATGTAAAACAAATAATACTTTTAATAATTCTTTTTTATATGGAGAATAAACTTCATTTTTTACAAATTGTGTAAAGTTTAATGCACATTGTGTAACTGTTGCAAGAATTGTTGATTTTAAACTTGGTGTTAATTTATCTTCAATTAATCCAAATGATTCATAAAATCGAATAAGTATTTCAAAGAATTCTTTACATTTATCATTACTTAATTCTTTTTCAAGAAATTGTTGTAAAAACCATTGTCCTGGTGTTTCTATAATTTTAAATTGAATATTTGTAAGTTTATCTTTTAATATTGATACTAAATTACTTTGTTTATCAAAGAAGAAATCTTTATACATTTTAAGAAATGATTCAACTGCTATTTTATCATTAGGACCAAATACATTTGGCATTTCTGTATAAAAATGAATTAAAATAGAAAGAAATCTTTCATCAAGAAGTAATATTCTTGAAAAATTCCCTCGTGCTGCATTAAGTACTTCATTTCCTAATTTAGAATATAACTTAGATGGAACATCTCCAATATTAAAATGATGTTGAATATTTAACGATGCCAATGATCCTATCTTTTGATAATTAGGCATAACACAACAAACTACTTGATAAAATAATCCTTGATATAATTTAATATTATCTTGACTCATAAAATATTCTTTAAAGAATAATTCAAGTAATTGGTTAGTATTTGTTTCTTGTGTTCTTCCATCTAAAAGTTCTGCTGGACAATATACATTTGAATTAGAATTAATTGTTGGTATTAAATTTTCGGGTACTTTACAATCTTCTTCTTGACTAAGATATGACCGAAGATTAAAACTAGGAAGGAAAAGACATCCATAACTATCTATTACATCACTATGAATTTTAATTAATTCTAAAAGTGTTTTGAATGTTTCTTTTCGTACTTCAATATTAGAATCTTTACATAAGAAGTTTTTAATTACTGGAACTATCATATGTTAGTTATTGTAAATTTTGACTTTTGCTTTGAAAGTAAAATAAAAATCTTCTCTTAATAAAATTGTGGGAAATTTAAAAGATTTTTAAAATAAAAGAACAAACGAAGCTTAGAAATTTCTGTTGTTGGAAGAAATTGTGATGAAAATTTAATAACATCAAGCATTGTTTTAACTTCTTGTAAACTGAGTGAATGTCCTCCTTTTTTAAATAAATTATCAATTGAATCTGGAATTTCTTGAAGACATCGTGTTAAAGCTTCAGTATTTGTTGAATATGTAACTGTAGGAACAACTGTTGTTCCTAATGACATCATTGATAGTAATGCTTTAACTGCTGCACTAGAGTCTTTCCCAGTAAATTGTTGAGTATATTTTTTAATTGCTTTAGCATCACTTTTTACTTCGTTTACAGGTTGGAATGGTGTTCCCATTTTGGGTGCTTTTTTGCTCATGTTTACTACTAAATTATCTAGTTGAAAAAAAAAATTCTTTCTCTTTTTAAGATTTTTTCAGTTCATTCATTTGATAACAAAAAAAAAAAAAAAACATTAAAAATTTTCTTTTCATCTAAATTTTCTTTTATTAATTTTAAGGAAAAACAAATTTTCTATATCACAAAAATTTATAACAAAAAAAAAATTGAAAAAAATAACAAAACTAAGAATTGTTATTAAGATGAAAATATCATTAAATCAAACTACTAAACCTCTTACAGAAAAAAATTCCATTCAAAAATATCAATGGTTTGATGATTATATTTCTAATAATCGTGGAGGTTCATTTGGAATGACTGTAATTACTCTTAATGGTAGAGGACATTGTAATGAAGAAATTTCATTAGAAGAATTACAATCAATGATGGGAACATTACAACCAAAAAATGATGATCCAGATGCAGATATATGGATTGATGTATATGGGAATAATGAAAAAGAATTAAAAACAATAGGAGAATTATTTGGAATTCATCCATTAACTATTGATGATTGGCTTTCAGATTCAACAAGAAGTAAATCAACAATTTTTGATACATATTATGAATTAAGTGATAAAGAATTATTTTATCAAACAGACTCTAATATATTAGACTATTCTTCTATTAATATTACAATGAGAGACACATTTGTATTAACAGTTCATTCAAAACATTTACATGCAATAAAAAAAGTAAAAGATAAAATATCATTACATTATACAGAATCACTTCCAAGTGCACAATGGGTAATGTATGCATTATTAATGGATATTATCAAAGGATATAAATTAATAATGAAACATATTGAAGAAGATTTAGATACATTTGAAAAATTAGCAGAATTTATGATATCAACAGATCAAAATGCTATCTTAGCAAGATTAATGAGTATAAAGAAAAGAGCATCAAATCTCGATTATCAAATATCTCCTAAAAAAGCATTACTTCGTTATCTTATTAAAACTCCAACACAAAAAATTAGTAAAATGGTTAAAATTTATTTAAGAGATGTTCTTGAAGAAGCTGTTATTATTGTAAAAAGAGTTGATTTTGTAAATGATAAAATTGATGATGTAACTAATACCTTTTTATCTAGAATGACTTTAGACTCATATCGTGTAAATAGAGATCAAGAAGAATTAATGAAAAGATTTGCAATCATTACAACATTATTTACTCCATTAACATTTCTTTCTACATCATTTGGAATGAATGTTCTTGTTCCAGGTCAAGAAATAGATAATTATGGAATGTTTATTGGTCTTTATGTTATTGCAATAGCAGCAATGATAGGAGGTATTTCATATTTTAAATTAACTCATTGGATTTAATTTATTTCTTAATTATTAAAATTAACCTTCTAAAAAATCAAAATTTAATTGATCAAACAACAAAAGAGTTGAATTTAAGCAGTATCCATTTCAGTTCCTAAAGAAAAACGATGTCTTAAATCCATTTTTCTTAATAATCTATATTGTTCTCTTTTTGGTAAAACTTTAATAACTTCTCTCATTTTTTCTTTTAAACGTGGACGAATATCTTTTAATTTTGCCAATGCTTCTTTTTCTTCACTTATTTTTTGTGCACTTTTTGCTGCATCAACTTTATTATTACTTAATTTAGTCTTATCATTATTCATATCATTATCAATAGCAATTAATAATTGTCTTTCAAGTTCATCCATTTCAGTTAATTTTGTTTCTATAGTTTGAACAGTATTCTCTACACGAGTAAGACCAGTTTCTCCCATTCCACTTGATGTTCCTGATGCTGCATTTGCATCTTGGAATAACTCATATTCAAAATCATTCATTTCTATATCAAAGTCTATTTCTTCATTAATATTATAACAATGTGCTATCGTTACGATTAATAACATGATTCCAATCATTTTCCTTAATATAACATTTCTTATTTTTCAGTTTTTTTCTTTTATCTTTTCTTTTATTTTCTCTTTTTTTTTTCTTTTGACTTTTCTCAATTAGTATTTTTATGTTATATATAACGTTAAATTGGAAAAATAAATAATTTAGAGAAATTCTTCTTGGTCAATAGCAAAATCAAATCTATGACGTAAGTCAAATCTTCGTGCTAATCTAATAGCCTCTCGTCTTGGGAGTGTTTTAATTATTTCTTCTTGTTTCTTTCTTAATTGAGGAATAAGAAGTTCTGCTTGTTCTGAAATTTGTTTTCCTTCATTTGCTTTTTGTTTAGCTATATCTGCCTCATCACCATTACCTCGAGCACCAGCAGATTTTGGAATATTTTCATCACATTCAATTAATGCTACACGATCAACATTTTCTAATTGAACAAGTTCTTTTTCTATTTTCAAAACTGTTTCTTCTACACGTTTTAATCCTTCTTGTTTGATATCTCCATCTTCGTCTGCAACAGCTGAATAAATTGGTTTAAAGAAAAACCCAAGATCATATTCTTCTTCTTCCATTTCTTCATCAAAATACAAATCTGTATCATCACTTAATAGATTAAATTCATAATCATCATAATCAAAATTTATCCCATAACTAAAACCAATGAATAACAGAATTAATATCATTAACTTATTATTATTGAATTAAAGTAAAACACTATGACTTTTCTAGTTTTTATTTTTATTTATTTCTTTCTTTATGATTTTTTTTTGTTTATCTCTTTATTTCATTTTATTTAGTATAATTATTTGTATTACTTTGTTTATTTATGATATTATTCAATAATAGGACAAGAAAAAAAAACCATAGGAATTATAAATTATTCTCTTAATTAAAAAGATTAGTTGAACACAATTTATTTTGTTTATATTTTCATTTATTATTCGTAAATAGATCAAGGAGTGTATGAATCTTCATCTTTATCAGTTACTCCTGTTGCTTTTAATATAATTGGAACTAAAATAGCAGCAACAACAATTACCATTATTATAGCCACTACAATCAAAATAATACACATTAATTTTGAACTTTGTTTTGCATATTCATGGGCTTGTTTTAAATCTTCAGTCCCTTGTTTAACATATTCTAATGCCGTTTCACAATTATCTTCAATTTTATTAATGACTTCTCCTTGTCGTTCAACTAGCACAGCTAAATCAACAAACATTTGTCTCAATTCAGCAATAGCACCTACTAATATTAAAATATCATTATGTTTACTAGTAACATATGCCAATGCTTGTTTTGCAGCAATATCAAGTTGTTTATTATTTTCAGTCATTACACCTGTCATAAAAGCATTATCATTACTTTCTATAGCTTGTTTAACTTCTTCATCACTAACATTTGGATTAACAACTTTCATTTGTCTTGCAATTCTGTTCTCATTTTCAGCTTTATTTAATTCTTGAATATCTCGATATTCTTTCATTAATTTAATTAATTTTGAACTTAAAACATCTACATGATTCTTTCTAATACGAACAACTGTTGTAGTAACTTTATGTTCTTCTTGAAGCTTAACATTTTCATCACGAAGTAATTGTAATCTAGTTTGAGCTTGTGTGAAATAAGTATTTGCTTGTTTAACCATATCATTTAACTTATCAGTAGCTCCTTCTTGTTCATTTCCAGCTTTTAATTGTTCTGTTTGTTCTCTGAATTGTTCAATAATATTTTGAATTCCTTGAAGTTGATTTCTAACTTCTTCAACATTCTACAGAGTTAAGTACTGTTATTATTCTTATTCCTTTCTTTTTCACTCATCACCTCATTGTAACTATTGAGTGGTTTCAATCTCACAACGTTTCGCTGTTCGTGATTTTATTTGAAACTAATGATTCACTTCTTATAAAAAAGTAATCATAAAAAAAACACCCTTGATAACATTAATTAAACAAACCAAAAGGAAATTACGTAAATGTGGATCATGCATAATGGTTCCTTCTTCAGGGACTGTAGAAGGCATTTCTATTTCTTCTCCTTTCTTAGGCATTCAGTTTATTCAATAGTTTTATTTTTTTCTAAGTTCTGTATTATTTCTATTATTACTTTTTCTTTGTTGCCCTATTTTTATCACTTCTATCTTTTTTTTTTGTTTTTCTATGTTTGAGACTAAATGAAAATTGGGATAATTGAAACGAGACATAAAAACATAAAATTTGAAAAATGAAAATCAGAAAATTGAAAAATCTCAACCCATCTTGAAATCATTTCCATTCTTCTATTCTAAATGCAAAGTCTTGCACAGACTAAAACAGTTTTACTTACTTCTCTTTCACCAAAAGGTTTTTCTTCTATTTTTATTGGATTTTTAATGGCTGTTTCTTTTGTAATGATTATGACAATGTCACTTCCAACACAATATGGTACTAAAACATTAAATAATACCTGTGCTTTCTCAGACTCAAGTGCTTGTCTTTCACATTTGGTTCAAAATGGAAGTAATTTTACAGTTAAAGTAGATGATATTGCTGCTACAAATCAAAAAGTTTATATTTATTTAACATATGAATTACAAAATGCACCACGAGGACGTATTAGTTTGTTTTAATTTTTGGATATATTTTAATTTTTGTAGTTAATGTAAATTAATTCAAATAGAAATGAGTGTCAATACTGCATTATATAAACCAAAAGAAAAGAATAAATCTATTACAAAATATGATGAAGTAAAATTAATTAAATCATTTACAAAAAAACATAGATCATTTTGTAATTCAAATAATTCATGTGAAGTGTTATTAGCATCAATTGAATCAAGTAAACAATATGAAGATATATATGCAGTATTTAGTGTTAATTCTGTTTCTTTATCAGAATCACTTGGTTCACCATCATTAAGTATTGTATATATTACACCAGAATTTACATCATTTGAAGTATTTTGGAGAATAACATTATTAACTAGTATGTGTTGTTGTACATTATTCTTTATGTATGTTTTAAGAGGTATTCCATTTAAACAATGGTCATTAGAACAAAAATGTACAGTACTTTTTATGATTGCATTAACTATTTCAAATAATGGATTTTATTCATATGAATTTATGAGTGCAAATGAATTATTCCCATCTATTAATGCAATTTGTGATTCAATTATGTTATGTTCATTATTATTATATGTTTTAGTTGTAATGGATGCATTAAGAAAACCTTTAAGTCAACGTACATTTAAATTCTTCTATTTCCCAAGATTTTTAATTGTTTTATTAATTGGATCATTCTTAGTAAATCTTTATTTATATAATGCAGAAAATAGTGATCCTGTAATAGTAATGATGAAAGATCCTATTAATGCAACAATGGCAATATTAACAGGATTATTATCACTTATTTATTTATTCTGGTTAATGTTTGCTATTATTCGTTCATTTTCTGAAGCTCGTAAATTAGGTGAAAAAGGACAAAGAATTAAAATGTATGGAACATTTACTATTATTGCTATTTTCATCTTCTTTGTTCTTTTGTTATCAGATTATTTCATTGGATATCGTTCAAATGCTGCTGTTTATTTGACATTGATTGCATATGTTAATATTTATGCTGTTGTTTTAATGATTTTCTATCTTCCATCTACTAAAAATCAAAATGAATGGAATAACCGTAGAAGAGAAATCGTACTTGATGATGTTAAAGTAACACAATATGATGATGATGATAATGAATTGGTTGTTGAAGAAAATAATGAAAAAAATGAAGCAGAAATACTTATTGCAGCTACAAATGAAGAACCAACTGGAGATATTGACTCAAAGAAAATTGAATTATAATTAAATTAATTCATCTTGATGTTATTCTGTCTGGTTTACTTGTTTTACTTCTTCTTGGTCATGTGCTAATTCTATAAATGCAATAATATCAATATTTGCTGTATTATAAATACAATCTATAATTTCTTCTCCATTAATCAAAGAAGCACGATCTAATCCATTTGTATCTAATGTATTTAATTCATTTACAGAAATATCTTTATAATTTCCTTTTGTAACTCTTGTAAAAATTAAATAGTCACAATTCTTTTCAATTGCCTCTTTGTATGTTCTGTACATATAAATACCCTTTCCTAATTTCCCTTCAGTCATTGAAAATCCATTTTTTTCAATGCTTTGCATTTCTTCTGCTGATTTACAAGGGTAATACATAACCATAAGAAATTCATTTATTTTACATCCTACCCCTTCAGGAGTCATTTCTAATTCTCCAACTACTTTCATCATTTGAACATTCTTATGAAATGGAATAAATTCAATCATGTATAATTGTTTCTTACTTAGTTTGTTTTTTTTTAAGTTTTTTTTGGTTTTTAACTTTATCCTTCTAAGCAATAAAAAATGGAAATATTGTATTATGAAATATCAATTAATTGCTTCAAGTTTCCCATCAAACTCTTCAATAGAACTATCTGCTGATGATTTAGATTGACTTTTTTCTGAAAAGTTATCTTTTTTCTCTTCTTCTTGTTTTGTTGTCGTATTGGTATTTCTTTTACTTGTATTTCCTAGCTCATTTTCTAAAGTGGATGATCGAATAGGAACAGCTTGGACTATTGGTTTCATTTTCATCTTATTTTGTTTTTTCTTCTCTTTTCTTTTCTGTTTGTCTTTCTTGTATTGTATTAAGTTGCCTATAGTGGCACAATTACAAATTGAAATACATAAACACGGTGTACATACCACAAGAATAAATACTAATCCCCCCAAAAACCATTCGTATGTTGGTTTTATTTTCATATCTCCAATGACTATTTCATTATCAAATGTAGACAACGTTGTTGGTTTTACAATTCCCATGATATTCATAGCAACACCACCAACCCAAACTACACACAATCCTATCATAAAACAAAATGATGTAATTCGGTCTCTAATTAATCCACTAATAATTCCAATAATTCCTACAACAACAAACACTCCTGCAAGTGCCATTTGATAAAATCCTGTAACAGCTCCTAAAATCATTCCATATATCAAACTTCCCATCTATTTGGATTAATTTGACTGTTTATTTTACTCTTTTATTAAAGAATATACAACAAACAATTATAAGGATAGCTGATGGAATCAATAAAAATTTTGGTAAATAACATACTTTCATCTTCTTTCTATGTCTTCTTAAACTACTATTTGATAAAAAATCACAAACGTTCTCAATTTGTTTTTTTTTTTGACTTTTCTCATGCTTGATTTAAAGATTATTGTTTCGTTTTGTTTTGTCTGATAACCAATAACTTCATGACCTCAATTAATTATTCTCATTTACTTGTTAAATGACTGATTAAAAGCATTAGACCTGCAATGTAAAACATCATTCCTGCAATTTTCTTTGGTGTCCACCAACTTTTCATAGACTGATGTGCTTCTTCTAACGCTTTATTTCCTGCAACTAAACAAACTTGTGCTTCTTCTACAGCATCAACAATGTGTTGTGTACTTTCTAGCTGAATAATTGCCATTTCTCCAATCTTTGTATTTAAATCATTGATATTTTCAATTTTTTCAATAATCACTTTATATACATCATCCATTCGATTTTCTGTTTGTTTTAATAATCGTTCTTCTTCTTCATCAATTTCTTCTTTTTCCTCTTCATTGTTTTCCCATGCATTATCAAAATCAACATCGGTTATTTTCTCACCTTGAACTGGAGCAATTTTGTTTAGACTATGTTCTGTTTTTTGTTTTTGAGGTATTTGTTTTTTTTCTGTTATTATTAACTCTGGTTGTTCTTCTTTTGGGGGTGTTTGATCTTCATCACTATCAAAGTCATCAAAAATTGATGCGTTTAGCTTGACTGGTGTGTCTTTAACTGTTTGCTCATGTGTAACTGATTTGTTATTTCTTTTTTGTTCTTCTATAATTTCTGGTTCATTTATACTCTCTTCTTGTTGTTCTTTTTTATTATCTTCAACATGTGTCTTTTCATTATTCAATAACTCTGGATGTAACTGGAAGAGTAATTCACTGTTCATATTAAGAATGTTCCAAATCACTTTCATTTGGTTGTTATTTTTCTTTTGAAGTTTCTGAATTTTGTCTTTGAGTTGGTCTATAACTATAGTGTAATGTTTGATATTGAAGACTTTATTTTTGTTATTATTTTCTAGGAGTTAAGTCATTAGTCTTAATGAGATGTTGTTTGTGTCGTAAACAAACTGTAAGTTTCAAAAGAAGAAATAATTTTTTCATTCATTTGCTTAGACCATTGTGTTAGTTGTTCTCCGAGTGATTGTTGTTCTGAGAATGTGTTGATATCAACCAACCCTGTTACCATGTCAAGAATTATTTGATTTTCCATTTCTATTTTCTTGTCAATTTCCATTTCCTACAAATGATGAATATTTATTATTTCTTCTAAAAAATGATAAACAAACAATATTTTTGATAATTTCATTGAAACTATCCTTTGTTTCTTGTTTGTAAATACACTCGTTTTCAAACATAACTTTTAATTCATTTTCATTACATTCTTTATGTCCTTCTTTAAAACAATCAAATGCCACTTTGTGGAATTCTTTAGTAATATCCATTTCTGTTTTTTTTTAGTTTTTTTCAATACATAAAATGTGTTTTATAAAGCAATTAAAATTATTATAACGATAAAACATAAAACATAAATTTTTAAGTGTTAAGTAAAAAAGAAAACAACTCCTTAAGATTATGAGAAGTGATTGGATTGCTTAATATTTTTTCACATAAATTAATGAAAAAAGTTTTTTTTTGAGACTCTCTCATACTTATTTCTCTTTGTTCCCAATTTTTTTGTAATTTCTTTTTTACAGACACAACAACAGACACTTGTGATATTCCATTTTCATAAAATAATTATTCTTTTTTTGTTATATTTTTATAAACTTTTGGTTTTATAATATTTTTTAATAAATTTATTATTTTCTTAAATTTCCAAAAAAAAATTGAGCAAAAGTTTTTAGATTTTTTTCATAAAATTTTTATGAATAATCTTATTGAATAAGTGATAATAAAAACGAAAATACATTTCTTTTTCACTAATCTTCAAATTATTAGAAAATAAAAATAGAATAACAGACAACAGCCAAAACAGACGATGTCTGTTGTCTCTTGATTTTCAAAATGAGATGAGATCTTAACGGTGATATTTAAGAAAGAGAAATGAACTAGAAATGAAAACAAAGATGCAAATCATGAAACAACCTCCACAACTTGTTACCAAATGGGATAAAGGTTTTTTTTTACAATTATTAATGATGGTACCATTGGTTGTTGTATGTTTTCCATCAAGCTTTAATCGAAGTGAAGAATTTAAACAATCTCCATTACCAAAACCAATAGACTTACTTCCTTCTATTATTCCATTAGCATTTATATCTGTTTTAAGAATTATTCTTGCAGAAAATTTGTTTAAAAAGATTGCTAAGAAAGTTGTATATAGAAAACCAGAATGGGATGAAAAATTTACTCAATTCAGATATGAAAGGTTTGGACTAACATTTTTCAAATTTCTTTATTATCTTGGTGTTGCACCATTTGGTGTATATTTATTTAGAAATGAAGATTGGATGCCAACTGCTTTATTTGGTCAAGGAAAAAGTGATTTATTATTGATTTATGAAAATTTCCCATATGTTCCTGAAGTTCCATATTTAACATTGTTTTATTGTTTAGAATTAGGATATCATTTACATTCTTTACTTTTCCATATTTGTTCAACTCCTCGAAATGACTATTATGATACTTTACTCCATCATGTAGCAACTATCTTTTTAGTCATTTTCAGTTATGTAAATAATTGTGGAAGAATTGGAGTTTGTGTAATGGTTCTTCATGATATTGTTGATGCAGTTATGTATTATACAAAATGTACTAATGATTTTAAAAATCAGGTTCCATGTTATATTGGATTTTTCTTTTTAGTCATTTCTTATGCACGATTTAGATTATACGTATTTCCAAGATATATTATTTATGCTGCTATTCAAGCATATCCATTTATTCCTCAAAATGCTACAGGAGGATACATTGTTTGGGGTCTTCTTGTTGGAATGTTATGTTCATTGTTGATACTACATATTTACTGGTTTAAATTGATTATTGAAATGATATTTAAAGTAGCTTCCCATGAAGGAATTGTTGATCCTCATGCTGGGAAACAAAAGAATGAATTATAATTATATTGTTTTTCATAGTTACAACTACTTGTTATTTAATGTTTTTAAGAAAAATATCAAAAGAATTAAATAGAAAGATAGAATTTTAATTCAACTACTTTTAAGAGACTGTTTTTTTTAGACTATTAATGATTAATAATTAAGAATATTATTGTAGGATTAGAATATTATTTGAATTTGTTTACATTTATTAGATAAAGTTATTATTTGTTTGTGTTAAGTTAAAACGTAAATTTAATAAATTATCACTAAATCTTTAATTATCTTGACTTTGAAAAATGAATTGTTCCATGTCTTTAGTTAACAACTCTTCTTCTGAGTTGTCATAGTCATAATCATAAAAGTCATCATCATTATCATCAATTTTATAATCTGGTTTGAAGTTTTTACCATATTTCTTTATTTGTTTTTCTTCAACATGACTAATTTGTTTATTAATTAAATGTTTTATTTGGTTATTTGATTTATGAAAATAAAAAACAAGTTCATGTTCTTTGACTTGAATTTTTTGGAATGATGGAATTTCATAAAGGGATTGGACTTTTTGTTTTATTAAACCAAGGTTAAGAGTAACTTCAGTAGGACCATAAATAACTTGAATATCTTCAGGTTCCTTATAAATGCATATAGAAAATGCATGCAAAATTGATTGAATATCTTTTTTATTAAAATTATCGTCAATAATTTTGACAAAAAAGTTACTACAAGTTAAATTTTCTTGTTCGAAAAAGAATGTTGAGACTTGGAATATTTCTATTTTTTTATGTTGTGAATCTATCTTAATAGTGCTGTTAGTTAGTTTATTATTTATGTAATAGAATTGAGAATCTAGAATTTTATTAGGAAATAATGTTACAGTATCAAAATTTCCAATCATAGTAATATTTTGATTTAAATTCTCAATTCCATTCATTGTCATTAAATGGTTAGGAGAGTAAAGTGTCATTCCTTTCAATGAGTCTAAAATATAAATACTAGAATCACAATATTTATTTATCAAAGTGATGTTAGAAGAATCTAATGAATAATTATTAACAAAAGATGTAAAAGAAGCATCAATATATACTTTACAATAACTTGACACGTCTATTTGAATCTGTAACAAAGACTTTGGACAAATTATATTAATTGATTCTGTAGCATTTATGCTAACTATACTTGAATTATCTGACGTATTTTGGGTATTAGTTTTAAGCTTACATTTAAGGTTAATATTTTGAAATTTATTATATAAGTCAATTCCAATGATATTAATAAGACTATTTTCAGCATCAATTGATAAGTTATTGATAGACTTTGAAAGGTATAAATTAAACTTTGATTTTTTGAATATACAAATGCTTAAATCTTTTAAATTACACATCTCAACACAACTTATTTCTTTCATTAAGAATTCTTTACAATCAATTTTTAAATTAATAATAGAAGTTAAGTCAATTCCATCAATGAAGCTTTCAAATTTTAATTGATTGATATCATTTGTATTAATTATTACTTCTCTTTTTGATTTCAACTCTTCTTTAACACTATTTTGAGGTAATGTAATTAAATCCTTATATTGATAAAATTGAACTTTAGAATTTCCAAGTAATTGGCAATCAATTGGATTATTATAAATGATAATAAATTGCATTTTAACATTTATGCTCTCCTTTAAAATAAAATCTGCGACTTTACAACTAATAGTTTTAAAATAAAGAATTATTTTTTCAAGTTTATATTGACTTTTGAATGCATTAAATTCCATTTTATTAAGAGAATCTAATTCAATAACAATTAATTTCCTAATATTTATAAATTTATAAAGATGTTTAATGTCTTTATAATGAATTTTTAATGAAATTATTTTCTGTGCAATAAAATCATTTAAAAACTCTATTTGGCATGGATCTTCTGATGAGTCAATCCATGAAATCCTTTCTAATTCTTGATGAGTAAAAGTTCTTTGTGC